TTGAGCCCTTTGCGAGGTTCCTAAAGGGGTCGACAGGCCCTCCAAAGTCAAAAGGTCAAAAGGTCAAGCCTTTATTAAAACATAGAGGAAAGCAGCTAGGGACACAAAATTGTCAGTGTTAGAGAGGGGCTTCAAGCCGATGACACCCTGAAAATTTGAAGTAGTTGGCTCATTCCTGAAGGAAGTTGTGAAACTTTTTATACTCTACCCATTTGAGGCCTTCGCCGAGGTGAAACGAGTGCCTTTTGCCTCACAGCTTTCCGTAGGAACATCCTACGAGGGTGATCTTGATACCGACGTAAAGCTCTGATCAATACGAGTTCAACGAGCTCTGTCTCATCTCTGTGCGTGCTTCCCATGACACTCAGCGTGCTGTAGAGTTTGCTTATCAAGGGCCTCCATAGACTTAACATGGGATGTTTATGTGAACCCGTGCGCACTACGGTTAACGCACAGACATGAAACTGTGCACGCGCCTTCAGGTGGTCAAAGTTAACAGGCCCTGTGAATTTGAAGTATTTAGCTTAATCCTTTTGAAAATCTAAAAAGCTGCCTATAGACCAATATTTACGGTAACGAATGCGAACGAACATTCATCAGCTTATAACTTCAGCTAGGAACGTGCTAGGAAGATGAATCAGATATCGTTGGAAAGGTCTTGGAAAGATGGATCCAACAAGACCTGTCTCACCTCTCTGTTTTCTAGGAGTCACAATGCAGCTGAAAAGTGTTTACATTTCTTGCTCTGCTGTTCATGCTGTGATGTATGTATGAGCATGAGACTTTGCACACTTCTTCTTGTGGACATGCTTAACAAATTCTGAAAACATGAAGCCTTTGGCTTAATCCTTAAGGAAGTTATTAATTTATTTATTTTTTGCTTGCACGGATGGATGGATGGATGGATGGATGGATGGATGGGTGTGTTTTTGCTTGTAGCTTCACATAGGGACATCTGATCACGGTGCACGTGGTACTAAAAACGAGCCCATAGGCTTAACATGAGATGGTCTTTAAATCACCACAAAGCAGCAAAGCTCAGGGCGTTTTAACCCCTTAACCCACTGTCCTCTGCTGTGAAAAGTTGAAAGTTGAGGTTTTCAAGGTCGAATCTCGGCTTCCGAGGCACGTAGAAAGACAAGACCAACATTGATGGATTCGTCTTGAGCCCCTGAACAACATATGTCAAGAGAGTTGCACGTTCAAGTGCTCAATACACACGTGTCATCATGGAATGCCTTTGTTCTGGGCCTGTGCCCGTCTCATACAATTCTATGCCCCTGTCCGTGCCCCCGTGGGAACGTTCTATGCCCATGGGCATAGAACGTTCCCACATGGGCACAGTCATGGGCATAGAATGATCCTACATGGGCACAGTCAAGGTCACCAGAAGGCAGGAGACGGGCACAGCCAATACTTTACAATGTGAAATACCAATGTGAATGGACCGTGCCCGTCTCGTACAATTCTATGCCCTTCTCCGTGCCCCCGTGGGAACATTCTATGCCCATGGGCATAGAATATTCCCACATGGGCACGGCCATGGGCATAGAATGTTCTCACACGGGCACGGCCAATGGGCACGTGAATGTATGAGACGGGCACCAAAAAAACTTAGTGCGTTACTTGCTGACCCTTGCATTTTACATGGACGAACCTGACTCTCATATGAAAGCCTGGGCTCCTCTGAGCTGATCCCTCCCCTCCCCCACCCCTCTTCTGTAACTAGGTGAAAGTTCGAGCTCGTTAAGGACCAATAAAGGTCATATCTTGGCTTCAGAGGCACGTAGAAAGTCAAGACCAACATTGATGGATTCGTGTTGAGCCCCTGAACAACATATGTCAAGAGAGTTGCACGTTCAAGTGCTCAATACACGCGTGTCATCTTGGAATGCCTTTGTTCTGGGCCTGTGCCCGTCTCATACAATTCTATGCCCCTGTCCGTGCCCATGTGGGAACGTTCTATGCCCATGGGCATAGAACGTTCTCACATGGGCACGGTCAAGGTCACCAGAAGGCAGGAGACGGGCACGGCCAATACTTTACAATGTGAATCACCAATGTGAATGGACCGTGCCCGTCTCGTACAATTCTATGCCCTTTACCGTGCCCATGTGGGAACGTTCTATGCCCATGGGCATAGAACGTTCTCACATGGGCACGGTCAAGGTCACCAGAAGGCAGGAGACGGGCACGGCCAATACTTTACAATGTGAATCACCAATGTGAATGGACCGTGCCCGTCTCATACAATTCTATGCCCTTTACCATGCCCATGTGGGAACGTTCTATGCCCATGGGCATA